CTCTCCGACGAGCACATGCGTCCTATGGCAAAAATCTCTCAGGAAGAAAAAAGAAACACATGCACACACACACATACATACCCTCCCTCCCTCCCTCAGGGTTACCGCATTAACTGAAAAAATTAATAATGAGTAGAAAGGGACTGGCATTAGAGCCCAGGAATTCTCATTTTCCAAGTTCTAGAAAAATCACCAAGGAAACCTCTCTCTTTCTTCCCCGCAGGACATCGAACCAGATGGCATTCAGCCACCCTCGCTGCTCCCCTGGTGCACAGCCACTCGGCCCGGAGACTATGGGAAACCTCTCCCCACGGTGGTGACGCCGAAGGGCAGCCAGAGCACGCATCTCAGACCCTCTAGGCGAGCTGCCAGCCGGCCCACCACCCTCCTTCCCCAGGAACACCGAGACTTCCCCACGATAGACCGACACATTTTCAGGACTGTCCTTAACAAATTCTAGGAAGCGAGAGCGTCGGAATCATTTCACAATCTTCCTAAAGAGACAAGCAAACTAGACCATTCTTTCCCAAGTAAATACGAACCTGTCAGCTCTTCCACAAAGCTTCTTAGACACAGTAAATAGAGAGAGAGCTTCCCCTACCTCAGATAGGCGATACTTCATCAAATCCAACAGCCCGAACTACCGGGCAGCATGAACTCAGAGGCTCGCTATGTGTTCACCTATGAAATCTATCACCAGGCTCTTTCTCAGAAAACATCAGGCCCAGACACGGCAGTTTGAAAATCAAGCCAAGTGCGTGTGCATGCGTGGCCCAAATCCTGGCGGGATGGAGGAGAAGGGACTGCGGTGTGGCCATCCTCCCTGGGGAGTGATTTCTCACTTTCCCTGACTCTGTCTCTCTCTGTCTCTTCAGGGAGCACACCAGCCCTGTGGCAAAAAGAAAAAGAAAGACCAGCAGAATGTTACCAAAAGTGGCAAGTACCACACAGCAAACCAACGGCACCCACGGGAGGCCAGCAGGTGGCACAGCAGTTAAGGCACTGGATTCCCCAATGGCCAACCGCAGTCCGAGTCCCAGACCTAGCGGCTTGAACTCGTGCTGAGTGTGTGTGTGCGTGCACGCCCAAGATCCCAGGAAGAGGAGGAGCTATGGTGTGACCGTTTCCTCTGGGGGTTGATCTGTCGCTTTCTCTCTCTCTGTTTGCCTATAGATAGCAAAAAATCTGTCCTAAAAGAAAGAAATCAGAAAACAGATGACACCCAGAATAACCACATAAGGATCAGTTTTAAAAACACATTCCAACTGCACACTTCAAGAGGATTAAGATGGCGGCCAGCAGGTGGCGTGGTGGTTAAGGTGCTGGACACTCCCACATGATAGACCACGGTTCAAATCTTGGACCTGGTGGCTTGCTTTCTCACTTTCTCTGCCCCCCTCCTCTCTGTGTCTCTCTCTGGTCAAATTACAATAAATGAAGAAATAAATTTAAAAAATTTTAAAAGAGAATTAAGATGATAAACTTTACGATATGTATATTTTATAACAAAAAAGTAAATTGGGGGAGGGGACTACCAGCTACCTGGGCGAAGCAAGGCCAGGGGATCTGGGAGATGGAGTTTCTCTTTTCCTAAAGCTTTGCAAAACAATGTCGATTGTGAGTCACAACTGAAATGTAGCAATTCCCTTTGTACTATTTACACTTAAAATTGTTTTTTTCTTTTTTGGGGGAGAGGTTTTTGCTATAGGGCGCGTGCACTCGCCAGACAGACAGAGATAGACAGAGAGACAGAAAGCGAGAAATCACCCCCCAGGGGGGATGGCCACGCCGCATTCCCTTCTCCTCCATTTTCCTCCCGGGATCTTGGGCACGCACGCACACGCGCCCGGTGTGAGTTTTTAGCCACCAGGTCCAGGACGCGAACTGCGGTCGACTACGTGGGAGTCCAGCGACATAGCCATTACGCTAACTGCTGGTCCCTACACTTAAAATGTTTCAAAGCATCATCGAACACTTGTATTTCTAGTCCACATTGGTAATTATCCAACGAATTATAAAATCACTTCCTAAATGCCTTGACATTCAAATATTAACAATGACTCAACAGAACGCTTACTACCTGCCTGCAGAAGTACCAAGTGCTTGCCGTAATTCCAACAGGAAGGCACTGTTATTGCCCCCGCTCCCCGAAAAATAAAGGGACTTGCCCTGTGGTCACCACCTAATAAGCGGCCAGACTGGGGTTCTAATCTTTTTTTTTTTTCTTTTTAGAGATTTTTGCCAGAGGTGCGTGAGCTCCCCAGAGAGAGAGACAGAGACAGGAGAGGGACAGTGAGAAAATATCCCCTGCGGGGACGGCCACACTGCAATCCCTTCTCCATCCTCCTCCTGGGATATTGATTTTCAAGCTGCCGGGTCCAGGACTCGAACCGTGGCCAGACATGTGAGAGTGTCGTGCCCTTACCACCGCCCCACCTGCTGGCCCCCGCCCATCCTCAACTCTAATACTCACCGTGCTTTTATGCCTTAGCGGCTCTCGCTGCCATTATACGTACAACGGTATTTGGCTCAGATAAATTACATGACTTGTTTCAGCTTCACGGCTGGTTATATTAAGATTTCTTCTATGGGAACCAGCAGTTAGCGTAATGGCTATGTCGCTGGATTCCCACGTAGTCGACCGCGGTTCGCGTCCCGGACCCGGTGGCTTAGAACTCACGCCGGGCGCGTGTGCGTGCGTGCCCAAGATCCCGAGAGGAGAATGGAGGAGAAGGGATTACGGCGTGACCATCCCCCTGGGGGGTGATTTCTCGCTTTCTGTCTCTCTGTCTTTCTCTGTCTGTCTGGCGAGCACACGCACCCTATAGCAGAAACCTCTCAAAAAAAAAAAAAGAAAGAAAGAAAAAGATTTCTTCTAAAGAATTGTTTAACGTTATTTATTATTATCATTATTATTTTGTAATTTGCTACAGGCATATGCAGTCACCAGAGACAGATGGAGACAGGAAAGTGAGAAAGCAAGCCGCCAGCTCCAGGACTCGAACCACAGCCAGCCATGTGGGAATCCAGCACCCAAACCACCACGCCACCTGCTGGCCCCAAGACTAAGATGTAAACTAAGGCACATTGAGTCACAAATCATAAGTCTCCAGACCTTTTAAAAAAACAAAACCTAAATGTCTCTTACGTGGGTTTAGGGAAAGGGCATGGGGGAGAAACCAATTTGACAGTCATGAAATACCAACTCCGAGGAACAAGCAGGGTTCACACCCCGGGCCTCTGCCTGCTCGCAGCTCACTGCGCACGCGCCTTGCTGCGGGTTCCTGGATTCCTGACCGGAGCAGATTCCAGGGCCGCAGACTGCAGGCTCAGCCTCTGACTAACGCGCGGTGATTTACTGGAGGATAAATACCTCTGTCAGTGTCTTATGACTGAACACAACAGGCCAAGCACACTGGAATGCCCGGAATAAAAACTAGAGCGGAGGCAGCAGAGTGGGCTGCCCCCCAGGAGCTGCCCGGCTCTACCTCCCTGCCTGACATTGGGGACAGCAGGGACCTCACGAGGTGGGGAGCAAGTGGCACCTTTTCACCCAGACACACACACACGTGTGTAGCACGCCTCCCATAACCCCACGACGCGCCATGTCCCTGCTCACAGCTGCTGCCACACAGTGGCCAGCACTCCCGGCTGACAGCTGGCTGGGCCCCAGGCCCTGCAAACACAGGCGGGACCCCCCTCCTCTGCGAGGGCTGTGTGCTGAGCCGAGGGTGCAGACGGGGTGCCGGGACATGGGCACAGTAGTACACTGCCTTTCTTTCTTTGAATGTTTTTTTTTTCCTCTTTTGCCTCAGGATGTGTGGGGTTGTGAGAGAGAGAGCACGCTCGCAAATGAAAGTGAGACACCACCCCTCCCCTAGAGGGCACGGCCATGTCCCAATCCCTTCTCCTCCTGGGATCTTGGGCATGCACACAAACGTGCCTGGTGTGATTTTCCAGCCACCGGGTCTGGGACTCGAACCGCAGTGGGCCGGATGGGAGTCTAGTGACGTGATGACCGCACCATCTGCTGGCCCCGCAAGCTGCTTTTCAAACACACACGTGGAGGGAACCAGCAGTTAGCGTAATGGCTATGCCGCTGAACTCCCACATAGTTGACCGCGGTTCGAGTCCCAGACCCGGTGGCTGGAAAATCACACCAGGCACGTTTGTGTGCATGCCCAAGATCCCAGGAGGAGAAGGGATTGCGGCATGACCACCCCCCCAGGGGGTGATTTCTCGCTTTCTGTCTCTATGTCTCTCTGTCTGTCTGGCGAGCGCACACGCCCTATAGCGAAAAAAAAAAAAACACCTCTCCAAAAAAAAAAAAACCCGAAAACCACACACGTGGACATCTCCCAGAGTCCCAGAGAACTTCTGCTTCAACCCCGTCCCGTCACAAGTTAGGCAACGGCGGCTTCCAACAGAGCTGAGGTACCCCGCGCGCGGTGGCAGAGGGTGCGTGTGGCGAGGAAGGGCCACCGCCCAGGTGGGGGCTGGGCTGCCACAGGCTGACATGACACGGGACACGCGGCCCCTTCCTGCCAACACAGAGGGCCGTGTGCCCCCTCTGGGAAGGTCTCGCGTGTACACCACGGTGCAGGGGAGGCGCACCCGAGCTTCTCGGACGCCGAAGTAGACAGTCCCGCTCAGGTGCCAACCCCGCCTGCTGCTTCTCCAGGGGATGAGGACAATCTTCTAAACACCGATGCTCCTGGTGACCACCGGGATGGACCACAGGCCAGACAAGGCCAGGTTCTCACCCCCCCGCCGAAGCCATAAGGAACGTCACCTTCCACTAGGACAAGCCCGTGTCAGGGCGTACGGGGTGGAGGGAAACAGGCCCCCTCTCTCTGACGTCAGGAAGCGGATTCGATACCTTTCAGGTGCCGAGCACTCGAACCTGCTATAAACACTCTCCCTGATGCATACTCGACAAAACGACGTCATCGCGGGCCACCGCGGCCGATCGCAAACCCAAACAAGACCAGGGGACTTACAGGTGGGGGACGAAGAGCCGACTCATCTTGGAGACGTGGTCGCTGTCACAGTCCAGCCCATCGTCGCCCGGCTCCATGCTGAACTTCCTCTTGCTGGGGCTGACTGGGGGAGGGCCGGTGCGGTGGCTGCCCAAGGCAGAGGCCACCGGGAGGGTCTGCATCCTGGGCTCTCCCCTGAGAGCAGCTTCACCTGCAGAGAGACAGCTGATGGGGTCAGCAGGCAGAGAAAGGCCCCAATGCCAGTCCCCGGCACCCCGGCCCCAGCAGGACGGCTCCCAGTGGAAAGTTTCTGGCTGCGTGTTGGGCGGCCGGCCATCCCGAGAACACGGAACCACCACGCTTCGGCTGCCAAGCTGGGGGCATCCCACATCAGCGTGGTTTTCTAGCACAATCGCTCTTTAGGGGAGTTTTAAATAAAAAGTGTCCATAACGTGGCAGAGGGGAGAAAAGTCTTTTCCATAAACAACCTCAAAAGTGAACTGAAAAGAGTAAAGGTCTCTCGGCTTGTGGGTCTTCAACCCTCGACCTCCAAGGAGTGGCCTCCCGGGGTCCACGCGAGACCGTGCCAAGCTCGGGCCTCCTGCCTGCTCGGCGCTCCTCACATTTAGGGTATGTTGGTTTCTTAAGAGAATGAGGAACCCTTACGGGCCTCATAGTTCACATACTTGCCCTAAGTTAAAGGAAACAAAAGTCCATTGTGTGGTTGGAAATTAAACACGACGGTCTGACAGCACACTAAAAATGGCACATTAACAATATTAGCGACGCAAACCCCGGCCTGCCATTCGTCACGCGCGCAGCACGTCGGGGGCTGCACGGAACATTTCACAAGGTCAGACGCTCACGCCGGGCTTCGGATTCAGACCCGAGTCGGCATCGCGGGTGTTTTTCACCACCGTTTTAAAAATGGCTGTGTGTTAAGCGCTAACTTTGGGCCTTATTATGAAATAAGTACGAACTTGTGTGTCAGTAAAGATGGAAAAATATCTTCTAAAACTGGGGCTAGCTTGGCACTAACCAGGTGGCGTAGTGGATAAGGGCACTGGACTCCCACACGGCCAACCACGGTTCGAGTCCCAGACCTGGCAGCTTGCTTTTTCGCTTTTTCTCTCTCTGTGTCCCTCTCTGGTCAAATAAAAAAGAAAGTTGAATAATCTTTAAAAAAATAAATAAAACTTCTAAAATTTATAACCAAGGGTAATAATCACTTTAAGAGAAAACTTCAGGGTGGCCGGTGGCATGGGGTTAAGGTGACTGGCTCCCACATGGCCAACCGCATGGTTCGAGCCCTGGGCCCAGCAGCTTGAAATACACTGGGACCAGCAGACAGCATAGTGGTTACATCACTGGACTCCCACATGACCAACTATGGTTCAAGTCCTGGACTCGGTGGCTTGAAACTCATCTTGGGTGCATGTGTGTGTGCACCCGAGATCCCAGGAGGAGAAGGGACTGCAGTGTGGCCATCCGCCCGGGGCCACTTTCCCTCTCATTCTCTCTGGCAAGTGCACACACTCTAAGACAGAAACCTCTACAGAAAAAAATAAGAAATGAAAGAAAAGAAAAAGAAAAACGCAGAGTACATGGTGTGTGTGTGTGTGTGTGCGCGCGCACACACGTGCATGTCCAAAATCCTGAAAGGAGAATGGAGGAGGAGGGATCCTGGAGGGGCCATCCCCCCAGGGGGTGATTTCTCACTTCCTCTCTGCCTCTCCCTTTAGCAAAGTAAAAACTTAAAACTTACAAAAAAGAAAGAGAGAGAGAGAGACAGAGAGAAAACTTCAAGCTTTCTAAGTCGCCTGGAGGGGGCACCTGAATTTTCCACGAATAATGACCCTTCTGTGGTGCTGTCCGTCGGTCTGCCAGGCCCGACCCCTGCTGGCTCCCCGCGGCCACCATTCGGGAGGAACATCAGGGCAAAGTCAACTTCATCGGAGGCCCTGTGGCACCGAGAAAAGAAATCTCTGTGTGCTACTAATTTTCGCAGACGTGCGGCCGGTTTTAGCAGTCGTTCACTTCACAAATGTGATTTTGTTAGGGAGAGGAGGGAAATGACCTGGGGAATATTTACCAGGAAAAACAAAAACTTCGCCAATGGAGTCAGCAAGATATAAACGAACAAATACACAGTGGCCCTAATACGCTTCGCGTCAGGGCTCCTTTTAAGGATCCTGGCCCCAAAGCAAACTGGAACTTTCCATGTTAAATGTAATACCTAAAAAACAGGCTGCGGACTGGCCTGCTTTCTCTCAGAAAGAAACTCAGTATGATTTTGGTTGGCCTCTACTTCCTATTTGGCATTTTTTTGTGTTTTCTTTTTTTAAAGTTTTTGCCATAGGGCCCAGGCACTGGCTAGAGAGAGACAGAGAGGGAAAGCGAGAACTCCCGGAGGCGGGGACGCTGGTCACAATCCCTTCTCCTCCATTCTCTACTGGGATCTTGGGCACGCACATACATGCAGCCAGAGTGATGTTCAAGTCACCGGATCCAGGACTCGAACCACGGGCAGTAGGGTAGGAGTCCAGCACCTTAACAACCATGCCACCTGCTGTCCCCCAAAAAGGAATGCAGTGACAGGAACGAGGAGGGCTGGTGCTCAGACGTTGGTACGTTAGAAACTGTTCTTTGAGATGCCCCCTTCGCACACCCTCCTGCAGAGGGAAGGCTCCCTCGCCCGGGTGACCTCGGCCACTGAAAGTCAGACCTCAGGGAGCGGTCAGAGCCTGACCTCACTCTCCACCTGCCCTGCCTTCCTAAATGCCCTGCCTGGGCCTGAGGGCGGGAGACCCCGAGCCTCCGCTGTCACTGTCACCCCAGACAGCCGCCACCCCAGCAACCAACTCCAGCCTCTCCAGAAAAGGGGCACCAGCTCAGTTGTGCTGTGAGGGAAGAGCCAAACCCGGGTTCAGGGCAGCACCCTACCCCAGGCCCCGTGGCCGTGCTAGAACTGCGCTGCGTGGAGGTGGTGTCAGCCCCAAGATGGCCTCGCCTGCGGCTCACGGACAGACACAGCCGCCGGGGAGCCTCGGAGACACTGGGGATGTAAGGAAACGTTTTTACAAATGTTTTTCCACCGAGAAAGACACGAGAGACGAAAAGACAAAGACGGGGGCTGGCAGGTAGCATGGTGGATAAGGTGCTGGACTCCCACATGGGTGACTGCGGTTCAAGGCCTAGACATGGACCTGGAACCTTCCCCCGTGGTCAGTCTCCCCGAGCCCCACGTTTCCCGCTGTGCCGCCATCCCGCCCCAACACTGGAGATTTCCAACCCGGGGCAGGGGTGGGGACAGAGGAGCTGCGAAGGCTCTTCAGGGGGTCCATCCCTCGGCGACCACAGGGGACTAGAAGCCTGTCCCGGCTGCCCTGGGATGACGGGTGCACGCCCGCTGGGGCACGTCAGGAGTGTTGCCAACGCCACGGACGTATTAGATCGGTGACAAGACTGTGTCCCCAACACGGAGGGGGCCCCCCAGGGCCACGAGGTGACAGGCTGACGGGAGGCAAGAGTCAGGTCCTCCTCTGCTGACCACATCAACTCGGGGGCTAGACCAAAAGGACCCAGACGAGGTGGGGACAGCTACGGATCTGGCAGGCTCACACCCGTACTCACAGGGACCCCGTCCCAGAGGACCCCTAGCCCAACACCTGTATCTCACAGAAGGGGCTACTGCCCTTGCTGTCATGTAGCAAAGGAAAGTAAAAACTAAGCTGTGAGGGGGACCAGCAGTTGGCGTAATGGCTATGTCGCTGGACTCCCATGTAGTTGACTGCGGTTCGAGTCCTGGACCCGGTGGCTTAAACTCACGCCGGGCGCGTGTGTGTGCGTGCCCAAGGTCCCGAGAGGAGAATGGAGGAGAAGGGATTGTGGCGTGTCCATCCCCCCTGGGTGTGTAACTTCTGTCTCTGTCTTTCTGGTGAGCACATGTGCCCTATAGCAAAAACCTCTCCAAAAAAAAGATAATTAAAACAAACAAACAAACATAAAAAACAACTAAGCCATGTGGCATAATGGCTAAGGCGGCTGAATCCCCAAGGGCCGACCGCGCACTTTGAGTCCTGGCCCCAGCAGCTTGAAAAACACACTGGGCACGTGCGTACAGGCGTTCCCCAAACCCCAGGAGAGTAACGGAGGAGAAGGGACTGCGGTGTGGACCTCAGCCCTGCGGGTGTGTTTTCTCACTTTCCCTCTCTGTGTCTCTGCAGAGAGCGTGTGTACCTTATAGCAAAATAATAATAATAAATTATTTTAGTAAAACCGAGGGGAACTTTTGATCTGGGAGTCAGACACTTGCACTGAGACCTCAACTGTCCCCTCTAAGGTGGGGGGACGTGAGCTTGTGCGCCTCCTCGCTGGGCTTCCAGACGGGGAGTGGGTGGGGCCCTTAGAAGCCGTGATCCTCTCCTGTGGTCTTATCACTGCTCGACTGGCCAGTCGGTGCACTAAGAAATCACTACATGCGGGGCGGACGGTGGTACAGCGGGAGCGCAGTGCTCTGCCGGGCTAACCCGCCGGCAAGGTTCCCGGTTCGAGTCCAGAGACCTCCGGGGCTGGCTGGGGTAGACACCATGGCCCTCGAACTCTGCTGGGGTGCTATCTCTCTGTCTCTCTTGCTCATGAAAAAGAAATAAATATATACACTTTGGAAAGAGAAGAGGCCCTCGGCCCGTTTCCACCCTCCCACATAGCTCTGTGGTTCGATCTCTCCCCTCCTCACACGTCCACCCATCCCAACCCCAAACATCAGGGGGCTCCTGGGCTCTGTGAGACCGGACCAGCAACTGGCCCAACCATCCTTCTGGTCTTGTTTCTGGTATCCGTCTCTCTGACCCTTAAATATTTCAGCCCTAAATATTAAAGCAGGCCAGTCACCACTGCGCACGGGATGCACTGTGTAACCCCAACGTCTAGACTCAGCTTCTTCCTCCAGTCTTCTTATATTTTAAGGCCTGCACTGGACACTTGAAATGCCACCTCCTCCAGGCTGTCTCCCTTGATTTCTCCATCTGAAAGCCATCTCTTCTTCCTCTGGACATCTACAGACGTTTGTCACTCAGGTGCTTCCCTTCGGATTTTGCTTTGTGCTCCCTGAAGCAGGGGCCTTGTTTTATACACTGGCCACTCCACGCAACTTACATCAGAAAATACCCAACTGGGTCAACATGTGGGAAGGGGTAAGGGGGTGGACAG